TATATATATATATATATAGAGAGAGAGAGAGAGAGAGAGAGAAAAGAAGAAGAAGATGATGATGTGGAGGAGGAGGAGGAGGTTTATTTATTTTTCTTTTTCTAAATTTAAATTTGTTATAAAAAATGAAAAGTAAATTTACATGGTTATGAACCAAGTATGCAATACATTAAAACCATATGGATTATCCGGGTGAAAAGAGAAAATTAGAAATTGAACATTTGACTTTTATAAAATACATGGATCATTTATGTAGTTTACCATTTATGTGCGTGTGAGCATGTTAGATATTTGAACGTGTTAGTTAAAAGATTCACCTAACATCACTAACAAAAAAGGACAAATACAAATATTAAATGTGTTGGTTGTAAATTTTGCCGGTTTATGATATATTGAATCGGCAAATTACAACTAGGTGATGAAAGTTTTTATTGTGCTTTTTGGGTCTTTAAACAGTAAGTTTTGTTTTAACGCTATCATGACGGCTTTTTTAGGTTTTTAACCATTCTTAATGTTTCCATAGCGTCAAAATGTCGTCGATGTAGACTTTTTATTTACCTTCAATAATTTTAAAACCTCAAAAAGAATTATACTTATCTAATATTATAGTGTACTCTAAAATCTGTTAACTGTTTTATTCAATTCAAGAAAGGATGATCGGCGGTTTACAATCCATTTAAAAACAATCAAAGTTGATGATGGTTTCCAACAAAATCCAAGGACAAATATTACTTTGTTCATGTCCTCGTCAACAAATATGAATTTTGATACATATTTAGAGCATTGTGAGTTCAATGGTAGAGTTAAATAAGACAACAAGTCTAGTTTTCATTCAATTGTTAAAACTCTATCAATGTGAGATATCATTTTGGCATTCAATGAATTTAAAGTTCAATGACCATTGAATATTCAATGGAAAAAAAAAGATTTCTAATTTTTAAATATATATTATAATTTAGTGTTTTTAATGTTCTATTGAACTTTGTTCAATACATTGTGGTCTGTAGAAAAAATTGATAGAATTATATCGATTATAAAAATTAATGTGTCAATTCATTAAACTCTATGGATTTCTATGCATTGTGAATACTCTTAAAACATGATAGAAGGTTTGCAATTAAATGTCAAAATATAGTTTTACAAATCTGAGGTAATAAAGGCATTTGGATATTCTGAGAATTGTGATTTCACTTTCAAATCAAAGTATTTAGGTGGTACTCCCTAATTTTTGATTGGATAAGAGTCAAAATAGATTCAGAACAGAGAATAAAAAATATTAATTTCGTGAGTACCAAAAAACTTACCAAAATTCAATTAAATACCTCCTTTGTTAGAAAACTGTCACCAAACAATTTCATGTCTGGAAACAGATAAAACTGTCATAAAACAGTTTTACCAACAGTCATAAAACGGGTTTTCTATAAGGATTAATGCAAAGCCAGGGGATGCCGCCCCTTGGACCCCGCTCCTAGGGGCGCTGCCCCCGGACCCCCGTTCGTTCAGCGGCTTCGCCTCTTACCTCTAAATGACAGTCTACTTTTAATCTTGAATAAACTTAAACAAGTGTGCACTCCGCGCCTTCTTTACTTGTTTAATATTCATCAAAATTGATTTTGGTCAACAACTCAACCCATTACACTTTAATACAATTAGTGAAACAAATCACCAACATATAGAATATAAATTAACAATCAAAGAATTAGAGCACATGTAAATTTAAAATAAGATTTATATTAACATGATTCACCATTTCAAAGGTTTCCAGTGATAATCTTACAAACCAAACTATTTAACAAATACAATAATTAGATAATTAGCTTGAAATGAGCTTCCCACTATCTGTTAACGTATTTGTATATGTGTTTGAATTCTAGCTAATCGACCTCAACTCGTTATATTATTGTAAATCTGGTGTGTGTGTATACTAGTCGTTTACCCACGCTAAGCGACGAGTGCGAATTATAGACCTAATTTACCTAAGAATCATTGGATTGTTACTCAAATTTTCACATATGGCTTATAAAAAGATATTTCCTGTTTCAAAATATTAGAAACTTGAAAAAAGAATATGATCTAATAAAAACATAATTTTTGAAAGATATACAATCTATGTGAAGCTGGTGATGAACTAAAATGTTAGATCCTCGTTGCTTCTGCATACTAAGTAACTTGAATATTATAACATGCAAGCAAATAGATGCTTGCTATTTAATTAAAATATCTAATATTCAGTTCTGAAAATTATAAAGTACCAAAAATATAAAAATATAGAAGAGTATTTCTAGAAAATTTATAAAGAAATTAAATGCACAAAAAATTCATTATAATGATAAAAAATAAATAAATAAAATAAAATTGAAGGGTATCAATACTTGTACTTTTATAGATTCTCAATAGTAGTAATCAATCATACCATCTCCACAATCTGAAGTTAATAATCTATCATATTAATTGTAATAATCAATCATACCATAAAAAAAGCAAATACACAAAAAAATATTAATTAGTTTTTAGAAAAATAAAAATCAATAAAAAAGCAAAATCAATCTCACAAAATGTAAAAACGAAAAAATGTCTATTTTTCCCTTTCATGTTTTTCTGATCATACTAAGTGGATGATTACATGATGTTAGGTCCCTAAATTCCATTTGTTTACTTTATCTAGTGAACTGACAGCAGAAAAATACATTATCATATAGAGATCAAAAAACATATTATATAATCCAATCATCCATCATTAAATTTAACCAATGTTTTCTCATGTAGTGGTACAACTAAAATAACACACTTTAGCTAGCTTACAAAATTTTGAACAACAATCCCTGATAGTTTAAATTGTAGGGTTCAAAAAAAAATTGCATCAGACCTCGCATCAAACAATAAAATAACTAAAATAATTTTTTTTACATCAGATATTATCTCATTAAGAATCCGACCAGGCATGATATTTTTAAAACCTAAATTAAGACATTATGCATCATATTCAGACCTCAATTCAGAAGGAATAAATTGACATCAGATACATGGCATCAGACCTGACCTGGATCAATGACACATCCCCCTTTTCTCAACCTTGCGATGAAACTACTAATGATGAAGAGTTGATGTGGGTGTTGGAGTGAAGATGAACATAGCATCAACACCTATGACTTTGAAATTTTAATCTCGGGTACCAACTATAGACCCTATCAAGAGTAAAATATAAAGGAACATTGTTATCTCTTGCTTTATTCCAAAAAGTACATTGTTATTTCTGGCTTAGACTCAAAATTAGATTGATATTTCTTTCCTAGACCAGAAAAGATGGAAAGCCTGAAACACATTTCAATCGGCAGATATTGGTTTGTTCATTTAACTAAAAGAAATAGCAACATGTTTTATTCTATTTCTTTTACAGAATTGTACTTACATTTTTTTGGTTTTTTAATTTGGCAGTCCAGAATTTATGAAAAAGACAGGTTAATGTAATTTTTAAAATCATGATGGGAGACTATTATTACCAAGGAATGGACTACATGATTGGTTAATTATTTATAAGCAAACAACACCAAACACTGCAATTCATCATGAACTTCTAATCAACGATAATAGAGATTTTTTAGGGTTATTGATAATGAGGATGAGAAGGGTATTTATATAATTTCCAATGCTACAATCAAACATCCTAAATCTATATTTAGGTAGATGTTTTTCTTGTTAGGACATTACTATAACTTAACAAGAAAAATGGCCAAAAAGGTAACCTGACGTGGGAAGTGGGGGATTACCTGCCAACCAACATCAAGGCCATGTCATTTGATGTCCTTCCAACCTTATTCCCTGAAAAAAAAACATATATAATATTTAATGAGTTGGGAATAAAAAGGATTTCACAAACACATATGCTCATAGAAGCAATGGCAACTTACAAACTCGCAATCTTCCGAAAATTTAAGAGTAGTTGAGTTCTTAAATGTCAGCCACAACCTCCAATGGATCTTCTAGAACATCTTATAACAAAATGAATCATATAATTTTTTACCCTTTAACACAACTCACAACAATTTAGTTATATTTGACCTTTACACAATTAAGAAGATATGATATTGTTTCGCTCTTCTACACTGATGGAAACCTATAATTAATTCAAAATACAATCATTTGGTTGGATTTTGACAAACAAAAGGCATACACAAAATGACAAAATCTAAAAAAATTTAAGATCCGTAATAAGATAAAACATCAACTAAACTAAGAAAGTTCATCAATAATCAATATAATGATATATACCTCTCAAAACCGTCGACAACTTCATTGCAGAATGACAAAGGAACTTCCTCAGAGCACCTAAAAAGTGAAACATCCCACTATTTCAGGTTACACAAACAAAAGAGCCACACATGCAAATTTTTATTCTCCTTGCTCTTATCCTCAAGTATAGAACATGACTAAGTGCATGAGACCATTTCTTATTCCAAGCATACACTGCCAGACATAAGTCAAAAGGCCACTTCAATTACTTATTTTTTGTTGGATCCAAATTCTATGACTGAATTGTTATATAACTGGCCAAAGAAAGATGTTAGGATTAAAAGTTACAATAAATACCATTTGGTGTTATGGTCTGAAACAAAGTTTACATGTACATCATTCAATTGTGAGTGAATTCTATGAGCTTTGATCAAGCTACAAGCAAAAGGTGTAGCAGATATGGTGCAGTGGTGGTGCTGTTGGCGGTGGCTGGTGGTTAGGGTTCATAGGCAGAAGGAAGAAAGCTTACAGAGAGCGGAGGGAGTGAATCCTAGAGTCTGCGGGGGTTGGATTTATTGAAGGGGTGTGTGTACATGTGATGTGTGTGTCTTTCATCGCACCAACGTAATGGTGAAGGTTGCTGGTGGGTGGTTCAACCATGCAGGGGTGGAGACAATAATGATTTCACAAATAGCGGGGATGGTTGCGTCGACATCATCGGAGAACCCAAAACAGTTCACTTGATTGATCGAACAAACAAAAAAGTTCAATTCAATCAACAAAATAGACAATCAAAGAAACAAATATGACAAATCAAGAAAAAAAGAAACAAACATAAGAAGAATAACACCTAGAGAACAAAAAACACAAAAATCGAAAAATACAAACATGATTTTACCTCCGCTGTCTCTGTTCTTGAAAGCAACAGCAACAATCGTTGTGGGTCGAATATGTGGAATTGCACTCCTATAAAACTTAGATTCATAGTTACTTATGTAATCAATTTCATTCATCGTAACTATGGAATCGATTTGGGAAAATATTGTAGGGAATTTAAATGAGAATGCTGAGTCGATAAGGAGTGACAGAGACCTTGGTTTAGGGTTTTAATGAGGGAGAGAGATATTATATATAACAATCAATCAAAAATATTCAATTGGTTTTGACCAATTCAATTGGCTGAAATTAAGGGGCTGAAATTGAGGAAATGTGAGTTTAACTTTCACTAATTCACTTGTTGACCATAGATCCTGTAATATTTAAATGGTTGTACATATTGCATGATGGTCTTGTACCTCTTAAAATTCGGTCTTTGACCGAACTTGTAATATATA